TATTCAAAATAGAGGCCAGGGATACAAGATGGAGTCACTCACGATCTCCCGTATCAACATGATGACATTTTTATTTTTTAAGTTTAAAAAAAATAGAGAAAATTACATTTAAAAATCTCTCTTAAAAGAACATTAAGGTTGCAAAGTCAAACACTCTAAACTTCGGAAAAAAACAGAATTAAGGTTGCCCATGCACCAGTAGGGGTGTTGTGGAAAAAATAGCAAGGGATCATGTAATTAAAGACTGTATCGTACTACAGACACATGATGGGGGTGAACTAAGGTTGCCTGGGGCAATCTTAATTCTGCCATTTCCTATCTTTTGTGTGATTGACTTTGCAACCTTAATTTTCTTTTAATGCAGGGGTTTTTGTTTGATTTTTTTGGGTGCGGGGGAAGTCTTTCTTATAATACACACAGATGCAGAAGCTGCATAAGTTACCAACATGTGTGGTGGCCTCTGTTTTTACCATTCTCTTTTAGATAGGTTTTCTGCTTCTACATATAATAAATTATTAGGGCCCGGAAGTCAATTAGGGTTACCACATTTGAACATTCAAAAAAGAGGACACTCCATGGGGGGGAATTTGCTCACGCGCCTCCCCGCCCCAACTCCACCCCTTCCCTGCCCCTATTTCAACCCCTTCCCCAAAGTCCCTCCCCCAACTCTGCCCCATTGGACCCCTTCCCCAAATCCCTGCCCCAGCCCGCCTCCTCCCCTGAGCGCACCGCATTCCCCCTCCTCCCTCTCCCTCCCAGCTGTGCAAAACAGCTGTTTCGCGGTGCAAGCGCTGGGAGCTAGGGGGAAAAAGTAGACACTCTCTCGAGTGATCAGCATTCACTTTCTTTCTCGAACGATCAACATTCACTCTCTTTCTTGAATGATCAACTCTTCTTTGGGGAAAAATAATAATGGCAAAATCCCAGACTTTTTAGATATTTAAAAATACCTCCCGGACGGTGATTTAAGAACCAAAAAGCTGGACATGTCGGGGAAAATACGGACGTACGGTAACCCTAAGTCAATGGAAATTTTTACCTCCTTTTGGTCATATCATGTAATCTTGGAACACCCAAAATTTCTATTGATGTAACTGAGAGCAGAATTTTGGCCCTCTGCATGCAAAAGATAGAGGGATACTTTAAGATAGAAGTTAGTTACATCCATGTAAATCCAGAGGGGCTTGATTGATTTCACTATGGTTTACTAACATATTTTTAATTTCAAAAAAAGTTTTCTGTATAATGACTTTTGAATGATTGGGGTTGAAAATAGTGAGAATGACATGGCCTTTTAAAAAAAATGTTAAGTTTGGTCATGTGTTGAGCTCACAAATCTTTATGGTAGCCCTGTGAAAACAAAACAAATATGAAAATAGTATGTAGTTTATTGAACATATACTAGTGTTTTCAAAATAGTTCATAGTAGTGCTCCATTCACTTCCACTTCTCTCTGCCCACTTGTGTGAAATGGGGGAATAATAATTGGATGGTACCAGCTTCCCCTACATGCCTGGACCCAAGCTTGGAGGATGCAGTTCAGAATCTTACAGGGAAGTTTTACTCCCCTGCATGGGCATGTAGGCCAGGCTACAATCTAGCCCTTAGTAAAGTCAATGGGAGTATAAATAGAGATAATGGGATTAAATAGATGAAGGGAAAATTTAGGCTGAAAATTAGGACATTGAAAACTAGACTGGAAAAATCGTAGAAAATATTGTGTAGACAACAGTCCTACATTGGCTGGGAGAGAGCCAGATTACATATTTTAAGGAGATTTTTCCTTCTCTAATTTCTATAAGCAAAGAGGTAATTAATACACTATTACATATAGGAAAAGTTACGTTCCCCCTATTTTTTTTTAGTAAAACAAATATACGTGCCAAGGTCTCCAGAAACACGTTGGATCCTGTACAGTTAATCCATTTTAATTCTGCTCTGTTCCAGACTTCTCCAATGTATGCAGTAGGCGCACCTTTTAATGTCTGCTAGTGCTTTCACCTTAACCTTAGTCTCATCTCAAGTTCTTTCCACCTATGGAATGCTCTCTGGTGATCTTTTCATGGCATGCCAGACTTCTAGCCAGATTTTTCCAGTCCTTTGTTCCTGTAGAACCCAATGTGGCTGGAACATTAGACTGGAAGAGTTTGAAACAAAAACAGTATGCAGCATTCTGGGTTTTTGAGTACATAAGCGATAGCCTCTTCACTTTGTCACCATTGGGGATTTCACGCCAGTAATGTGTTGGATGGAAACTTCTATTTTCATTGTCTTTGGGGAACATGAAGTTTTTCACTTGCTGTGGCCCATGCAGTACAAGGAAGTCCCTCAGGCTACTGCTCAAGTGGGTCCACAGTCCTGGATCATCTAAACTTAAGGAACTAAACTCAGCAGCAGCTGTTTCTTGCACCTCCACCAGTCTTCTCTAATCTATACTTTTCTTCAGGAATGTGCATGATTGCATCCATTTGAGATGGAGATATGGATGCTGCAGTAGCTGCCAGGTCACCTGCACTCTGACTAACTGGAAGATCAGGCATCTCTTCACCACTCACATCCTGATTGGGGCCGGAAGGCTCACCGTGAACATTTGTGTCTATGTATCTCAGGAGAGCTCCTTCCTGCTTCGATAGAAAAGATTCCTTTGCTTTCTTTCTTTTTCTGAATGCTGCCCCAGAGGGGCGTTTTCTTCTTTCACTCATGACTGCTGTTCTGTGCCAGCTATATTGGCTCTCAACACTTAGTTGAAGGTGACAAATAAGCAGGCTGGTAGCAGGACCTGAGTGAGGGAAGATATCAGCATCTTAAGGGCCTAACTGGCTCCCACTACTTCAGTTGACTGCCTGTTCTCCTCAAGTGGGTTCAGGGAAGCAGCAGGAAACAGGCAGCTCCCTGAGAAGCTGGTGTTAATTAGTCCAGGCTCCTGGGGGTGCTAGAGAGGTACATAAGAGGCTCCTCCTCCTTTCTCTCCCTGCAGCTCCTGCTGCTTTCTGTTATTCCCTCTCACCTTTTCTCCTGCCTGCCTGTTATGTCTCTTGTGCCCTCCTTCCTCTGGCACAGCACTCCACCATCTCTGTGCATCTCGAGCAGAGAGAATACATATGCACCAGCAGCAGACACAATTTTCTACACTCTAGGTCCTAGTGGCGCCCCCAGTTTGGCACCTGAGGCGGCTGCCTCCGTTCGCCTGATGGTAAGGCCAGCCCTGCATCACCTTCCTCATCTTCACTAGTGGCCATCATTCTGGTCCCTCCCAGGGCTACATCTCTCTCCCTGTACTGCCCTGAGATGCCACTTTTATAATATATTATGCTGACATTACCATGTCTAATGCATAGTCAGCAGGGGTTTCTCCCCTCTTCCTTATTTGTATTTCCTCCCCTTACAAATGTTAAGGTGTCCTTCTTCTATAACTTAGTGTGTTTATGATTTCATGCCATTATCATATCCGTCAATTCGTTGCCATGGCACTCTTGCAGTCAGATGTTCCGTCCAAAACCTCCCAGAAGCTGGTGTCAGTTCATGTTCTGTGATTGGCTGGTGTCATTATGAACAAAATTCTCCCTTACATTCTACTTCCTGTTCCCCAAAACTTATCTATGCCAAACTTTGTAGGCCTCAAGCCTTATGCTAACTGCTGAAGCCAAGGTCTTGCAGGACACAAGCCTGTAAGTTCCTTGCATTACTGCTGAATATAATAAAACAAATTCAAAATATAATGTAAAACAGTGACAATAATAGAGATAAGCTGGCCCACTGGGCTACAGGTAGCATTCACACTGTGCTAGGTGGAAGGGAAGGAAGGGCCTATGGCCCTTAAGAGACCTCTGTTCTGTTTTCGCCCTGCCACAAACTTTCTGCCTGAGCAAATCACTTAGTCTCTCTGTGCCTCAATTCTCCCATCTGTAAAATGGCACTACTCTGCCTCAGTAGTGGTGTGAGGATAAATACACTGAAGATTATGAAGTGCTCAGATCAGGACTCAAGTCATGGTGGAATGCTCTGGAAGGCTGTTCTGGTGCTTTTTTGGGAACAGCATTCTGACATTTTTTTTTTATAGGAGCACTGGCTCAGGTACTACAGCATGGGAGGACAAACTACGGCCCGTCTGGGCTTTCAGTCTGGCCTGCAGGATTGCCAGCCCTGTGGCGCAGCAGGGCTACGGCAGGCTCACTGCCTGCCCTGGCCCCGTGCCACTCCTGGAAGTGGCTGGCATCATGTCCCTGCAGCCCCTAGGGAAGGGGGGGGGCAGAGGGCTTTGCCCGCAGCACCCATTGGCTGGGAACAGGGAACTGAGGCTAATGGGAGCTTCGGGGGGTGGTACCCGCAGGTGAGGGCAGTGTGTGGTGGAGGCGCCTGCCCCCCCAGGAGACACTGCCAGACGTGCTGGACACTTCTGGGAGTGGTGCAAGGCCAGGGCAGGCAGGGAGCCTGCCTTAGCCCTGCTGCCACCCCGGAGCTGCTTGAGGTAAGCGGTGCCGGGCTGGAGCCTGCACCCCAAATCCCTCCTGCATCCCACACCCCAAACCCCTGCCCTGAGCCCCCTAACCCTCTTGAGACTCCTGCTGCATCCCACCCCCCTGCCCTGAGCCCCCTTCCACACTCCACACCCCTCCAGCACCTCAACCCCTTGCCCTGAGCCTTCTTGCACCCCACACTCCCCCCCCACACCCCGAACTCCCTCCCGCACCCCAACCCTACATTCATGGTCCTGCATACAATTTTCCCACCCAGATGTGGCCCTCGGGCCAAAAAGTTTGCCCACCCTTGTACTACAGTAATGGGGCCATATAAGTACCCATAATACAATAACACCTAATTCTTATATAAGGCTTTTCATCAGTAGATGTCAATGTGCTTTACAAAGGAGGTTGGGCTCATTATACCCAGTCCACAGATAGGGAAACTGAAGCAAAGAGAGGCGACTTGCCCGAGGTCTCCCCGCACGCAGTGCCAGGACCAGAACCCTGACTTGTTGAGTCCTAGCCCTGTAGGTGCTGGCCAGCCCTGCTGGGATGGCTGCTCCCTGCCCCGGACAGCGCAGGGGCGATGGGGCACCAGGAGCTGTGACACTGGGCTCTGCCCTGCGTTTGGCGGTGGATGCGCTTCTGCTCAGCGGCTCCCTCCTGCTGGTGCTGCCGTCTCCTTTGCGGGGATTCCCCCGCCTCCGGGGCCCTGGCCAGTCTCCGACTGCAGCCGCTCTTCCTTCTCCCGCGGCGCTGCGGGCGGGAGGCGCCGGGTCCCTGCCGCAGGAGCAGCAGCCCGGCGGCGCAGGCGCGTTCCCCGCGGTAGGGGACCCGGCCGCTTCCCCACCGGAGGCTTCTGTTGTTTTTTCCCCATCCTCCCCCCACCTCTCCCGCGCTGAGGCGTGCAGCCGCGCGGCGCCCGTCGCTGCAACCTCGACAGCCTGGGCGAGCTGTTCGCGCCCGCTGCTGCCCGGGCCAGGCCACGATGACGAGCGGCCAGGAGTGTCAGGATGTGCAGGGCAGGTGAGCAGGCGGGTCCTGGGGCTGGGCGTGCAGCGGGGTCCTGGGCTTGCAGCGGGGTCCAGGGCGCGCGGTGCAGCGGGTCCAGGGCGTGGGGCGGGGTCCAGGGCGCGCGGTGCAGCGGCGGGTCCAGGGCGCGCGGTGCAGCGGGGTCCTAGGCTTGCAGCGGGGTCCAGGGCGCGCGGTGCAGCGGGTCCAGGGCGTGGGGCGGGGTCCAGGGCGCGCGGTGTAGTGGGGTCCGGGGCGTGCGGCGGGGTCCAGGGCGCGCGGTGCAGCGGGGTCCTGGGGCTGGGCGTGCGGGGGGGGGGGCGGTGGCGGGGCGCGTCTGGCTGCCTGGGGACGGGCAACCCTGCTGCTCCCGGCCGCGGGAATCTGGGGCAGGAGCCTGGGTACCAGGGACAAAGCGCCGCGCTCTCCGGGCCTGGGCGGCCTCTGCCGCAGGGGGAGGCGGCTGAGTCGGGCCGGTGCGCGGGAAGCCCGGGCGGCCGCCGGGATAGGATGGGGCGGGGGGCGGCCGCCGCACGGGGACAACAAAGGGCGCCATTGCAGGGCACGGGCCGGGGAGGCCACGCACGCTGAGCTCCCGGGGGGGGTGGGGTGCCCGGGCGGACGGTGACAAGCTCCCTCCTCCACTGCAACCCCGGGAAGCTGGCGGAGGGGGAAGTGGAGGCCTCGAGACAGAGCGATGCCTCCACCCGTCTCGGGTACCAGCCTGCAAGGGAGAGATGGACAAGCCCTGCTCGAGGCTACCGCGAGTGGAAGGAAGGGGCTGGTGGCAGGTACTGCGCCTGGGCCCGGCCTGCCTGCCCATAGCCACGGCTTGCATCCCACAGGGAACTGCCTCCCCCTCCGCCCAAGATTTCCCCTATGATTTTGGGCAGGTCCTTTAATATACCCTTTGCCTCAGTTTCCCATGTGTAAAATGGGGATAATTGCACTTCCCTACTAGAGGAGACAGATACACTCCTTATTGCAAGATGGATGCTCAGATCCTAAAGCGATGGATCTTAGATATAATAACACGGGGTGGAGGACGGGGACAGGCACTTCTACTTCATTTTCTGGAAGTTAATTTTTTCAGAAATTCACATCTTTATCTTCTGAGATGAAGTGCACAAACTTGGTGCAGAACCGGGTGAAGTTTCTGATCTAAATATTTATTTTTCATTTTCTGATTTAAAGAAAACATTCACAGAAAAATTCTTGAAAAAAACATGAAAATGAGTGCATAAACATTTGGCTTTGCCTGCAAAGCCTAAAACACAGTTTATCTGCAAAACGGTTTCACTTTCTGTTCTAGTAGCAGCCAGGTTCAGAATAACAATCCTCTGGTTCATTTATTGCGCACACTGAGATACATGAGGTTGCCCCATAATAATTATGTCTTAAAATCCTTTTCCTCTAGATAGTAAATGGCTGGTCTTGGGTAACAATCCATTATCAAGTTGCATCTCAATTTTTTCTTTTTCTTTTTCACTGGGGCATATTACTGTACATATTCAACTGAAAGGAGGTGGGGAGAAAATAAAAAAGCAAAGAATGGAAACTTTCCAATTGAAGATTAGATCTTACTTAGTAAAACCAATGTTCAGAGTCTCGAATGTATGTCAGTAGTAGTTGATGGGTAGCAAAATGTGAAAACCCCATTGACCACCTTGAGAGTCCTAGGAAGAAACAGTTTTACCTTGTATTAAATAATCAAGGTAAGTATAGGAGCTGCTGGGGAACTACTAATGTTTGTAGCTAAATGCCCAGTATTTATTGCCCAGGTTATTTGTACCCATCGCATCAGATAAGCAGAAGTAGCAGGAAGTAGTCCTGATCTGCTGAATTCCAAACACAGGCCTGGATGAGAGAGGAGAGGCAGGAAGGGAATGAAAATAGTGGGTCTTGTGTCATCTTGAGATGAGAAAGGCCACCACTGACTATATAGCCTCTCTGGGCTCTCAGGATTTATCTAACAGCAACTTCTTTGCTAATAAAAGCAGTTTGCAAGCAGAAAGTGTCAGCAATCCATGTTCTGGCACTTTTCTGCTTAGTGTGAAGATAAAACTAAAGTCAATTCTACAGCCTCATTTACCTGTTTATATCCACTACAGAAATAACTTAGAGTTTAAAGTTTGAAAGCTGCTTATTACATAAAAATGTTTATTTGTACTTATTTGAACGTTTTTACTGAGTTCCTTTGAGAAAAGACTTGGAGGCCAGTTGCAATGTTATGGGCATTGACACATTTTCAATAAAATACTCATGTATCAAATTTTACATTGATCCTGCCATTTATTTTTCTGAGTTATCTACTTGCATGTTGTGATGGAAAGTTTAAATTCCATTATAATGTGTAGTGATGCGGTGTGAAGAATACTGAGGACAGTCTACAATCCTTTTTTTACAGTAAAGTTATTATTGCTAATGTCCATTTTGCCTCTGCGTGACTAACCTGACACGGTGTCAGAAGACAAACAATAGACACGCAAAAGAAAAGGAGTCTGTGGCACCTTAGAGCTAACCAATTTATTTGACGAGCTTCGTGAGCTACAGCTCCTTCATCAGATGTTTACCGTGGAAACGCAGCAGACTTTATATACACACAGAAATCATGAAACAATACCTCCTCCCACCCCACTGTCCTGCTGGTAATAGCTTATCTAAAGTGATCAACAGGTGGGCCATTTCCAGCACAAATCCAGGTTTTCTCACCCTCCACCCCCCCACACAAATTCACTCTCCTGCTGGTGCTACCCATCCAAAGTGACAACTCTTTACATAATCAAGTCGGGCTATTTCCTGCATAGATCAAGGTTTTCTCACATCCCCCCACCCCCATACACACACAAACTCACTCTCCTGCTGGTAATGCTCATCTAAACTGACCATTCTCCAGGTTTAAATCCAAGTTAAACCAGAACATCTGGGGGGGGGTAGGAAAAAACAAGAGGAAACAGGCTACCTTGCATAATGACTTAGCCACTCCCAGTCTCTATTTAAGCCTAAATTAATAGTATCCAATTTGCAAATGAATTCCAATTCAGCAGTTTCTCGCTGGAGTCTGGATTTGAAGTTTTTTGTTTTAAGATAGCGACCTTCATGTCTGTGATTGCGTGACCAGAGAGATTGAAGTGTTCTCCGACTGGTTTATGAATGTTATAATTCTTGACATCTGATTTGTGTCCATTTATTCTTTTACGTAGAGACTGTCCAGTTTGACCAATGTACATGGCAGAGGGGCATTGCTGGCACATGATGGCATATATCACATTGGTGGATGTGCAGGTGAACGAGCCTCTGATAGTGTGGCTGATGTTATTAGGCCCTGTGATGGTGTCCCCTGAATAGATAGTGGGCACAATTGGCAACGGGCTTTGTTGCAAGGATAAGTTCCTGGGTTAGTGGTTCTGTTGTGTGGTATGTGGTTGTTGGTGAGTTTTGCTTCAGGTTGCGGGGCTGTCTGTAGGCAAGGACTGGCCTGTCTCCCAAGACTTGTGAGAGTGTTGGGTCATCCTTTAGGATAGGTTGTAGATCCTTAATAATGCGTTGGAGGGGTTTTAGTTGGGGGCTGAAGGTGACCGCTAGTGGCGTTCTGTTATTTTCTTTGTTAGGCCTGTCCTGTAGTAGGTAACTTCTGGGAACTCTTCTGGCTCTATCAATCTGTTTCTTTACTTCGCAGGTGGGTATTGTAGTTGTAAGAAAGCTTGACAGAGATCTTGTAGGTGTTTGTCTCTGTCTGAGGGGTTGGAGCAAATGCGGTTGTATCGCAGAGCTTGGCTGTAGACGATGGATCGTGTGGTGTGGTCAGGGTGAAAGCTGGAGGCATGCAGGTAGGAATAGCGGTCAGTAGGTTTCCGGTATAGGGTGGTGTTTATGTGGCCATTGTTTATTAGCACTGTAGTGTCCAGGAAGTGGATCTCTTGTGTGGACTGGACCAGGCTGAGGTTGGTGGTGGGATGGAAATTGTTGAAATCGTGGTGGAATTCCTCAAGGGCTTCTTTTCCATGGGTCCAGATGATGAAGATGTCATCAATATAGCGCAAGTAGAGTAGGGGCTTTAGGGGACGAGAGCTGAGGAAGCGTTGTTCTAAATCAGCCATAAAAATGTTGGCATACTGTGGGGCCATGCGGGTACCCATAGCAGTGCCGCTGATCTGAAGGTATACATTGTCCCCAAATGTGAAATAGTTATGGGTAAGGACAAAGTCACAAAGTTCAGCCACCAGGTTAGCCGTGACATTATCGGGGATAGTGTTCTTGACGGCTTGTAGTCCATCTTTGTGTGGAATGTTGGTGTAGAGGGCTTCTACATCCATAGTAGCCAGGATGGTGTTATCAGGAAGATCACCGATGGATTGAACCTATCCTAAAGGATGACCCAACACTCTCACAAGTCTTGGGAGACAGGCCAGTCCTTGCCTACAGACAGCCCCCAACCTGAAGCAAATACTCACCAACAACCACATACCACACAACAGAACCACTAACCCAGGAACTTATCCTTGCAACAAAGCCCGTTGCCAATTGTGCCCACATATCTATTCAGGGGACACCATCACAGGGCCTAATAACATCAGCCACACTATCAGAGGCTCGTTCACCTGCACATCCACCAATGTGATATATGCCATCATGTGCCAGCAATGCCCCTCTGCCATGTACATTGGTCAAACTGGACAGTCTCTACGTAAAAGAATAAATGGACACAAATCAGATGTCAAGAATTATAACATTCATAAACCAGTCGGAGAACACTTCAATCTCTCTGGTCACGCAATCACAGACATGAAGGTCGCTATCTTAAAACAAAAAACTTCAAATCCAGACTCCAGCGAGAAACTGCTGAATTGGAATTCATTTGCAAATTGGATACTATTAATTTAGGCTTAAATAGAGACTGGGAGTGGCTAAGTCATTATGCAAGGTAGCCTGTTTCCTCTTGTTTTTCCTACCCCCCCCCCAGATGTTCTGGTTTAACTTGGATTTAAACCTGGAGAATGGTCAGTTTAGATGAG